AATTAATAGGGTCTAGTATTTTAGACTTAAATATACCAAATAAGTCTTTTATCTAATTATCTTCTACATATTATGATAATTGTATATTTTTTAAAATATATTTTACCAATTAATCCATATTTTCAGAATTTTCTAAAATTACAATTAAAATTGATCTAAAATCTTACATTGTTATTGCAGGAAGATCTTAAGGATTAAAGAACTTAAATATTCTAATATTATACTTTAATAAAAAAGTTAATTAAGGTTTCTTCTTTAAAATGTTAACTTATAATTATCTATTTAAATAATCTAAATTAATTATAATACACTTTTTCTTATTCATTATGAGGATTTATATCAAAAGCCAATAAAATTCTATCCTATATTACTCTTGACAATTCAGTAAAACTTAAATAGGATTCTCTTAAAATAAATTGATATATAAAAGGATCTATGACATTATTAATTTATTTTACTTTTTCCTGACTCTTTAATATCATAAATATCATTATATTATTATGTATTTTTAACAAGCACCTTGAATTCTTTGATAGTATTCATTTCTTTATATATTTCTTTCTTTGATTATCTGATTACTCTTGGATTAATAGTCAATTATTTTTGATGTTCAATAATATTACTTATTATACTATTATTCATAGTTATTTCATCGCATAATTGACTTTCATCAGCTCTTCTAGTATTTAAAGAATCCTATTCGTATGACTTTAAAGTTTTCTTGTACATAGCTTAAATATTCATTGCTCCTTAAGTAACTGTACCTTGTTTCATTATATCTAAATCTCCTTCTGTAAATATATTATCTAATTTGCTAAAATGAAGCAATTCTTATTTAGTAGAATCATTTAGTTCATACCTCTTTCTTGGAGTTTTAGTCAAATTTTGTAGATGAAAGGGTAACAATTTCTATAACTTCTTATCTGATTTCATCAAATCCATCATATAACTCTTGTACTTATAATTTTTGTAACCTTTAACTTCAAGATATTTAGGTGCTGTTGATATTTTCTATATTTTAGGAAGACTAAAATGTGAAGATGAAGTATTTCGAGATATTTTACTTTAAGACTCGTTCATATATTAATTAGAATTTAAATAAAATAAATAATATTCATATATATGGTCTAATTAATTGTTAAAATATTTATTGTAAAAATTATAGTATTTATTATTATTATTATTATTATTATTATTATTATTATTATTATTCTTATTCTTATAAGAATTGAACTTCCTTTTTAGTATCATTTCAATTACAAAATCTATAGAAAATACTTATTAACAAAAGCAAATAATTAATATATAGAAAATATGATAATTTTGATATTAATTTTTTAATGAAATATTATTCTTAGTAGTTGAAACAATTTAATAGATTTTCAATTATATATAATACTTAATCTAAGTATTAATTTATAAAATGTATTAAATACAATAAAGTTTTTTTTTTAACATTTGTATATATATATTAAATTTATTTGTTGAAACGAATAAAATACTTCATATTTCTTCAAAAGAATGAAATTTTTATGTTTAGATTAAGATTGATTGTTAATAGATTGTAAATTAAATATTTAACATGGTTTATATGTTCTTATAATCATATTTTTAGTATTGGTTTAGATTTTTTTAAAATGGTTGAAAATTTTTCGAAAAAATCTAAATTATATGAGAAATCTGAAGTTTCGATTATAGTATACATTATATTAATAGTTATTAAATAGTTATATAGATTATATTAATAATTATTTTTATTTTTTCAATAGATAGAGCATTCACAAGATAATTTCTAAGATCGAACCTTTTTTTTCACAATAGGTATATTTTCATTGATCTCTGATAACAATATTTCATTCTACTGAATAACTGTTCTAAGATTTGTAAGAATTTCATTTTGTTTGTTTTAAATTTGAGTATCTGTTTTAAGGCTAATGAAAATGGTAAATATGATTACGATTGGAAGTAAAAGTTAGATTTTTTGAGTGTTTTATAATGATGATTTTGAGAAGGATTTTGATGATAGTTCATCTTAATTTTTCTATATATATTATTTATTACAATGATTTAAGCAATCAATAAATTATATATATTTATATACATCATTCACTAGGAATATTAAATGATATAAATTGAGATTTCTTTGCTTATTTTTTTTTTTAAGTTTGCTATTGTTCATAGCATTATTTAATTTAAGAATCTTATCCAAATGTATTTTCTTAAACTTGGATTTGATTATATTTTGGTGTTGAAGATTACAATACATCTACATCACCAAATAATTATTTGATTGTTTATTCATTTGTAAATCCTTTCATAAGTAACTAATAAGATATAATTTAAATATATATTTACTTGATTAATTAAAATTTGTAAAGTAGTTTCAGACTATGACATTTATTTAGAGTAAAGTAAAATATTCATGATTTCTCTTGCATTTGTTGTATAACCAATATTTTTTAATAACATGTAAGTTGAATCAAATAAATTCTATTGATTGGAATCCTCTAATGTCATTTCAGTCATCAACATATATTAATCTTGAGTTTAAACTGCAGCAATTTCTCCAAAATAAATAAAATAATAATATAATTCACCATCTATTTAAATTCTTTAAATTTCAAAGATCAAATGATCTAAATTCTTTTCTTTTAATTTTTAACAAAACACTTCACAAAATATTTAAAGATCTATTTATATTGGTAAGACAAGTATTAAATTTTTACTCCATTCCAAAAAATAATCCAAAATATCAGAAATTGATGGGAAAATATTGTTAATTGATAAATTTTCATCAATAATCTAATAGTCTGGTTAAATGAAAAAGACATCATTTTAAATAATAGGTAATTTAGGCATAATAGCTTAAAGAAATTCACATCTAATATTTAAATTACATATAGTTGTATTATGATTAGCATTTTTTATTTATTAGATTGAAAAGTTATTTCCCAAAACAAAAGTATTAGTTTCAGAAGAGAACTAAATTGCACTAATACCACTTCTAGATAGACCATCTACAATAAAAGAAGGTTTGACTTCCCTCATTCTTCTACCAATATATTGTAGTACTTTTTCTGGTATCAAATAACTTGACTCATCCTATTCATATAATACATTATTATCAATATATGATATGAAGACTGATAAAGGATTCTTTTCTATTAATTTAGATTTTCTCATGGAAAAATCAACGAAAAAATTCTTTTAAGTCATTCTAACAAGCATGTAATTTAATGTCTCAAAATTACCAAAAAGTTCTAAAGAAGTTTTTTCATCTTTTTTTATTGTTATTTACTTTTCTTCAATGATTTCCTCTTCATCCGAATCTAAAGTACAACATATGAAATTCCAAAATTTTTTCATATATAAATTATGACATAATTGAATAAATTTCAATAAATGGAATTCATGAATAAAAGACTTTTTATAACTAAATTGTATTATCACTTAAATTTATTAAATATATATTTTAAGATAGTTAAATAAAACAATAGACTAAAATTATCAATTTTTAACTTTCCATTTTTATCTATCAAGTGGACAATAATCTTATTCTTCTGTCCATCTAACTATACAATGTAAATGAAAATGATGATTGCATGCACCTGTTACAGGAGGACATTCATCTCCTGGTAATTTACATCTAGGACAAGGTTATTCGAATGCTAACTAACAAATTGTACATCTATCTGTATCTAAACTCCATATCCATGAAGCAACAGCATTCCATTCTTTTATCTTGACTTTCATAATTTGAATTTAGTATATTAATTAAATTGTTTTAATTTATTTCTTTTAAATAAATAAATAAACAAATAATAATAATAATAATGAAATATTTTAGTGTTTACAATTAATTTTTATTATATCATATTTCAATGATTAAGAATAATATTTTTTATCAGTTCTTCTGTTATTTATTAACCAATAATCAAAATTTTACTAATTGATTATTGATTTGATATTGCTAAATTTGTAGGAGTTATTTCAAAGATATCTTCCACTCCTTATAATGAATACATGAATTATTCATCTTTACAAAATAACAATCCTTTAATTCTCATTATATTCAAACCTTCTTCCCACAACATCTATCCAATTTTAATATTCCATTCTTGTTGAGTAATATTAGGAGTATTTATATTTAGAAATATTTTATTTATATTTCCAACTTCTTCAAAATGAATATGTTCTTAATCAAATATTTTATTGTCTGCTTTTTCTGATTCGAAAATATTTTGAATATCAATTTATGCTCTTACAGATTTTATTAATTTAGAATTAGGATTAATTATTTTTAATTACTTTTCTATTAAATTTATATCATCCTCTTTACACAAATCCTTTAAATTATAATAATAATAGATATACTTAAAAATTTAACAACAATAAATCTGCATGTATTATTTATTTTCTAAATATTTCTAATTCATAAAGTGTCTTAAATTTATGGGATGGAATTAAACCAACTATTGTTGCTAATTCTGCTGGTAAATTTAATCCTTAATCAGCCCATAACTCCTTTATTAAACTTGAAGGATCAGCTAAACCATTTGATTCAATGATTATAAATTGAATATTTGGTTTCTTCTCGATAAAATATTAAATGGCTGTCATCAATTATCCTCTTTTAATGACTTTTTATTTTACTTTGCAGAACAACATATACAACCATTGGGCAATTCAAAAAAAGAATCAAATATATCTCCATTATTATCTACCATTAAAGGTGCTTCAATTCCCATTTCATCTGAAAATTCATTCTAAATTACAGCCACTTAATATAGATTCTACACCTTTAGGATATATTGTAATAATGTAGTTTTACCAGAACCTAAATAGCCTGTAAGTAAAATAATTTTGCATTTATTTTTATTGTTCATATAAATTATTTGAGGAAAATAATTAATCATAAAAAGCCTTACTATTTTAGTAAAATGTTACAAAATATATAAATAAAGAAAATGATTTTATTTTAAATATAAATTCTTAATCTTTCAAGATTCTGTTATTACTTCTGAATTGTAAGTAAAATAATCATAATTGTCATATAATTCTTTTTTATTTACTGGACTATCAATTGCAGGTTCATCCAAAAACATCTTACAATTAAAATTTGATTACTTTATTAAAATATCTTAAATCTAATTCATCATTTAATTCTGGAATTATTGGAGGTATTAATTAACGATTTTAGGCTTAATTCCAATCAATATCTTAAAAAAATGGATGTTTTTTTATTTATTATATATTAATTCTTTATTTAGGCTAATAATATGGAATATATTTTACATTATTATTTAATAATCCTGTGAGTAGACTTGAACAACTTTCAGAAAACCATGGTTTCATTTCTATTGGTTTTTCACTTCTATTTCTGAACATGAGTGTACGATCCTAACTATACCATGGTGCTGCTCCTGTTAACATTTCATACATCAAGGCTCCCAAACTCCACCAATCACAGGATTCGTCATGACCTAATTTATCATCAGAGTATATTTCAGGAGCAAGATATTCTGGAGTTCCAACAATCGAATAAGATGGCTTATCTCGATTGCTTATAATTTTAGATAATCCAAAATCAATTAATTTGATATGACCATCAGAACATAATAAGATATTTTCTGGTTTTAGATCTCTATATAAAATCTTAGAATCATGCAAATATTCTAAGGCTATTATAATTTCAACAGCATAAAATTAAACTTAATTCTCTTTAAATTTATATGCTCTTCTTAAGTGGAAAAACAATTCTCCACCTGCACAATAATCAATAACATAATAAAGCTTTTATTGAGTTTAAAATGCATAATGGAGTTTACTTATAAATGGATGACTGATCTTTTCTAAAATTATTCTTTCTGTTTTAGCATATTCCACTTACTTTTTAACTTATAAATCATATTTGTTAACAATTTTCATAGCATACATCTTTCCAGATGAACGCTTGCGAACCAACAATACTTTTCCAAAATTTCCCCTACCTAATGTCTTTAACAATTTAAAGTCTGTCACGTTGAGTTTTTGAGAATCATTGGTTAAAACTATACTTTGCTTATTAAAAGTAATAGTTTCTGTTTAATACTCATTAAGTGGTTTAGAATTGGTGTTCGCCTATTAAGATACAACATCTTATTAAGTTTCCTCATTTTTTTTAAAACAATTGAGACATTATCCCATATATATTATATAAAATACTTTTAATATGAACGAAATTAAAGTTTCCAAAACAAATGGATAGGTTTAGATAGTAAAGAAAGCAAAATCATCAAAACTAAAATTGCACTATTCACAAACACAATTATTTTGATCTAAATTCTTCTCTTCATTAATTAAAAAGATCTTTTACATTTCTTTAAAGAGTACTTAAGGTAACATTTAAATAAAGCCAATTTCTGAAATGATATTCAAATAACTCTGTTAAACAAACAACATTATTAAATGTGACTTTATTGAGTGCATTGCTAAATTAACAAAAAAAGATTCCAAAAGCATTTCCAATAAAATCATCTTTGGAGATGTTAATGAGACAATATCAATAAAATTACAGAATAGTTCTAGAAATTATGAGATCTCTTTATGAAAATTAAATTGAAATAACAAATCCATTAAATCTATTTATAAACAAAAATACTTGTCATTATTCATAAAGGATATATAAATGTTGTATAAATAAAATAAAAAAAAGGAGATAGAAACATAATTCAATTTTAGTATAATTACAAAACCTATATAAAGAATGCAATAATTTTGTAAATTTTATCCAATTTCATATTTATTTGCTTATTTTAAATTCATCTATATTTTATAAAATTGGTTATAATTAAATTAGACCTTCTTGATTTATTTTAAATATCCTAAATTTTTCTATTTCAAAATTAAAAGATTTTGAAAATCATCATTTATCTAAATGTCAAAAAAGTTAATTAAATATTCTCAATAATTTAATTTAATAAAATTGTTAAAAGGGAATCTCTTATTATTGTTAGATTCACAATAATTTGGTTTATGTATAGATTATTCATTTATAAGATTATTAAATATTTTGTTGATATCATTATATGATTTATTTTATGATTTTGGATAATAAATAATTTCATTTAAATGAAATTATTACCAGATAATAATCTATAAGTAATCCTTAGAAATATTTTTATTTAAATTATAAAATTGAATATCATAAATTATTTAGAATAATTAAAGTCATACTGAACCAAAGTTGTTTTAACAATAGAAGGTGACTATTTTTTTCTGTTTCCTACATGAAATTTATAAAGAAAAGAAGAAAATGGTTTATAGTAGTAGAATTAACAATTTAGATAAGTACTTATTGACAAATATCAAAGGAAGTTCTAATTAATAGACAGTTAATCTCTTATAATATTTATTTGTTAAGTATAAAAATATAAATTTATTAAAAAAAAACAAGAAATTATTTTTATTAAGATTTTTTAATCTATTATTCATGTTATTTACCTCAGATAAACAAATCAATAAGTTTTATATTTTAGTAACAAGGATAGAAGATAAAAAGACTTAATTTTAAGTAGGAATTTGTGAGCTTATTTTTAATTAATAGTTGACATTTTAGCAAGTTTATTTGTAGGAAGATTATTTTTTAATATTTTCAAGACATTATTTGAACTGAACATCTTGAAAATTAATATACATAACAAATAAAGAACTAATAAAATGGGATAATTAAAAAGAGCAAGGCAACTAATTAATGATTATGTAATTGATTAGTATAATAACAAATTTCTTTTTTGAAGTGAGTAATTTATAAAATTAGTAAGAAAGATTAATGCTTTCAATGATAAACTTATTTTTTGTTGCAATCCTAAAGTTTTAATGATATTTTGAATTGGAAGAGAATTAAAAAAATAAATAAAAAGTGAGATGAGTATTTTAAAAAAATTATGAATAGAATATAAAATATAGATTATAGATAATTAAATATCTGTAGATATTTGTAACTAAATTATAGATTTATGATTTTTATAATTAGGAATTAAGCACTTATGATATAATAATAGTTTATTGCATACTATTAGGAATTAAGAATTATTATGGTATAAGTAATTACTAATAAATATAATGAGAAATTATATATTAGATTATTATTTTTTATAAATGCAAAGCTCAACCTTATATTTTGTATATAATTCTGGATCTGAATAATTTTGGAAGAGAAAAGATTATTAATTAATAAATGACCTCATGTAAGGATTACTCCAAGATTCAAGAGAGATGATAACATTGTATAAAACTTAGAAAATATTGAAAAAGTTTATCGGTAGGAGATATAAAATCTTTTAACAACATTTGTTTTATTTCAGAGAGGTATATATATAATAGTTAGTAGAAAGAATGGTGAATTAGGGGGATTTGTTGTATTAAAGAATGTCTATTTTAAAATAATCAAAAAAAATGCAACCCAAAATATTCCATATGACAGCTGTCTTACTCTAATTAGAGATCGCAGTAGAATTGATCTTTACTTTAATCTTTCACCTGAGATTGAATTATTCTTAAGAGAACTATAGAGATTTTGTATTATTGATGGTTTTAATGATCAATATTAATTGCTTTAAAATATAGGGACTGGTTCTACAGCATAAGTATGATATTAGTAAATAAATTAGGTCTTTTTGGCTTAAAATACTTAAGATCATTAGTTATATGCAGTAAAATAGATTGAAAAAGAATAAGCAACTGGAAGACATCGTGTGTTAAGATCAAAAACATTATTAGAAGAAATTTTTATGATGAGAAGTTTGGATCATCCAAATATAATGAAATTACATCAAGTTTATGAATCAGAAAGTAGAATTCATATTAATAAATAGAACATATATAATTAGTTATTAGTTTATTTGAAGGAGGACAATTAATGGATAAAATAAAAAACTTTAATTTCCTAATAAAAAGGGAATTGGCTAAAGTATTAATTGAAACTGTTTATTATATGCATACCAAAGTATTTAATATCTAAATTAGGGAATTATGCATAGAGATTTAAAACCATTCAATATACTTTACAAAAATAAAGATCCTTAAGATTGGTAATTTGGAATTGGAGATTTTGGATTTTCAACCTCAATTAAATAACAATAGCATATATTATATAAATGTGGTACTCCTGGTTATGTGGCACCTGAAATAATAGAATATAGAGAAAAGTCTAAAATGTATGGATTGTCATGTGATGTGTTTAGTATTGGTGTAATTATATATGAAATGTAAGAGTAGAAAAATTAAATAGCTTTTTTAATACTCATCCCTTCAAAAGTAAGACAAAAGATGATACTTTAAGATAAAATGTTAATGCATAAATAAATTTTGATGATCGTATTTGTATTCCATAATCTCTAAAATCTTTGATTATTTCTATGGTTAGAAAAAATCCACGTCATAGATTCACTTTATAATAATGTTTAGAACATGATTTTTTTAAAGAGAGTTTATCAAGATTTAATGAATTATCATAAGAAATTTAAGAGTAAATTTATATATAACAAAATTTATAGACATGAACCAAAAACTATGGAGATTAGAAACATTAGATGTCAAACATTATAGTTATTAAAAACTCAAAATAACAAAAGAAGATAATCTTTACCTCAAGATTTCTCTGTTACTTAAGAACCATAAATTTAACAAAGTAATATTATATTGATTTATCAAAAGGAAAAAGTATTGCAATAAAACATAGATAATCAGTTTCATCTACTCATGAATCAAAAATTAAATTAGAATCTTAATAGTAATTTTACATATCCTAATAAAATTAAATGTAAATACCATCTTAGGTAAAATTAATTTAATTAGATAAAATTTGTGAGATTTTCCTAAATGATTAACATTAAATACCAAAAGAATTTGGATATACATATTTAATTAAAAAGTATTGAAGATTATGATTATATATATATATCATCTATTATGATAATATTGTTGATCAATACATAATACATAATTAATAGATTAATAGATTAAAAGGAAAACTTATAAGAATTAAAATGAAAAAAATAAATTAAGACAAGTTAAACATATATTTATAATTATAAATTATCTAAAAAAATAAATTAAATTTTAATATTATGACTTTTTATAATTACTCAATTTAAATAATGATATAAATTGCTAAGATAATTGTATTTAATACCAATCTACTTCATCCCTTTTTATAAATCCTCTTTCAATTAAATTTTCTATTCTTTTTTTCACAAATTTAATATCTGGCTTGAATATAGTTATCATTTATTAACATTATGATAATAAATCGGAATGTTTTATTGTTTTTTTACTCTTCATAGTTCTAACCAATTAAGAATCAACAACAAATTCTCTTTGTTTTATAAGCTATTCCTCATATTCTTTTTCTTCTTAAGTTAATTCTCCTAATTTTCTCTATTATTAATAATTATCTATAAATTACTTCACGTTTAGGTTACATTTTAGAATTTGGTAACATTTTTATTCTTTTTTACTTATTATTAAAAGCAAGATTCAATTTAATAATTTCATTTTAATCAGAAAAAGCATCAAGATCTTATTTTTATCTTTATAAAATCTTATTACAAATAAAGGGAATAAGAGAGTTTTCCAAATCAATCTATCTTATATTAAATATAAAATACTTAATTTATTTATGTTCTTTCATAAATTTATTTAATAGTTAATTAATCCTCTTTATTAAATTATAAAAATGATATTATTTAAAGTGTTGTAACACTAAAATAATATTTATCATTCTATATTTTATAATTTATTTCCCCTGATCCATAATTGAAAGTCCATTAAAGAATTCTTCCATTATTTTTTTCTTAATAAATTTGTTCATAAAGACTTTTAGAATATACATTTATATCTACCTTAAAGAATTTATCATCTATAAAGGAGGAATAATTTCATCTTTGATTTTTCCAATTGGCCAACAACCAAAAGATAAGAGATAGACTGACAATTCAAATTTTTAATTTTTATGAATCTGCTAATCAGATATAAATCTTAAGGATTGTTAAATATCGTTCACCATATTTTACAATTAAGCTCTAAAATCAATGATTATAATACTTACAGAACATTAGTTTAGGTTTCTCCTTTAAATTTTTATAATAAATTTTTTTCTAAATTTAAATTCTAATTTGTTTGATTAAGTAATCTTGAAGATAAAAATTTTTAATGATGTTAAAGAAATTTATCTCTTTAATATAGCAATTAAAATAGAGAAAAAATTTTATTCAATTTTATATCAGTCTCTATTTCATTAATACCTTTATCGCTTTTTATTAACATATCAGCAAAAAGAGCAACATAAAAAGGAGCCTCTTCAACTTCATTAAATGCTGTTGTAAATGCATTTTGATAAGCTTATATAAGTTTACTACTATTTTGCATTTAAGTTTTTATAATATCTTTTGCCTTTTCCATAATTTCCAAAATTTAATTACATAAATTCTCTGCTAAAACTAAAAGAATAAATTTAGATAAATACCTTATTTATTTTATCCTTATGATTATTATTTTGATTGGTCAGATATATTTTAATTCACTTAACGAACTTGAGATAAAAAATAAGTTGTGAATTCTTCAGCAATAAATTTTACACAATCCTTCTCCCTAGATATTAGATTATATAATTCTCCCAATTATGTTATTCCATCAACAGATAACAAATATTATACTGCTGTAGTTGAAAGTCGTTATGCTTATTCCTTTACAAAAAGTTGATTAAGTGTATTTTTTATCTTATCAAAACTCTTAGAATAACTTTCTAAACTCATTTACTCTTCTAATTAAATTACTTTAAGTGCCCATCTAACAAATTCAATTGCTCCCAAATTTTTTCTTTCAGAAATTTAAACTTTATAAAATTTCTTAGTCTTAAACAATATTTTATGATTATTACCTCATCAATAAATTTATTTTCAAAATTATATCTATAAGATTGTTCTGTCTCTTAAAAATTTAAGCAAATATAATCATACATACTCTATTCTCTTTCATATTTTAACCTTACTGTTTTGGCATCCATTACAATAAATAATTCACATAATGATTTAACTTTTTTATCCAACAAAATTTCCTACTATCTTGATTCCAATAAAACATCCAAAATTGTGCTAAATAATTTCTCCTTTCCTTCTTTAAAATACCCTTTTTGTATGGCTTCAAGTGAGATACTATGCAAATCAGCCCCTACTGTTGATAAAGTACTTGAATCTAGATGATAAAAGATCTTATAAAGCCAATATGAATATGCTTTGTAATCATGATAATGCTTAGCCACTAATTAAAGGGTCTAAATTTCATATGTATATATTTACTATGTCTTTTTGATTTTAGGTTTCTTTAAATTACTCATACAAATCTGTAACAAATTCATTTAAACATTATTTGTACAAATTTATCAATTTATCCTCCATTCCATCATTTGTTGCATCCTTTTGAGAATGAGCATTTTTGGGAAAATTTCTGCTCCATTCACTCGATAAATTTAAGATTTCACTTGAGAATCAAAAATTTTATTACCTATTCAATTCCATTATTTATTTTGGCAATTTAAATTATACTCCTGCAAAAAGATTTTATTTTAATATTCTTGCATGTTCTAAGCACGTTTCCTATACCTTCTAAAATCTTTAATTCAATATTTTCTCTGACATTAATTTTTATTTCAAATATTTTAATTCTATAATTATTCATTCCTTTTTTAGCTGATTGAAAAAATATAATTATTAAAAACATATGTTTTGTGACCCTTCTAAATAAATTACAAACACAATAAGATATGACATAATCCTAAAAAATTTTTTATTTATAATTTAAAAATTTTCTTATTTATATCAAAGTAGATTTTATTAATTGTTATTATGAATCATTGTCTTATGATATAAATAAAATAAAATTATTAAGTTTAATATATAATACTAAGGTATTTTCATAATTTATTACTATTTTAAATACAACATATTATAAATCAACATTTGCTTTAATATTTCAATACTCAATTAAGCATTTTCATCTAATTTTTAGTTTATTGGGACTTTTTAAAGAAGATGAAATATTTGTTTCAATTTTGCTTAATGTTTTAAGTTCTTGTTTATATACGTAATTACAAGTGAGTAATTCATCAATTAAATATCTAGTATATAAAGATATTTTTCCATTTATTAACCAAACTGTAAGCATCCTAAGTTTTTGAATTTTGTCAATTTCATATCAATTTTGATTAGATACTGCCCATATTTTTAAAGATTTTAATTTATTTAAAGGTTAAAAGGAATTGGATACTAATTAATGGGTTGTTTCTTTTAAAGCCATTTCATTTTTCTATTTAAAAAAAAATAATATTTGTAAAGCAGATTTATTTGATACTTGTAATTCTCAAGTAATTCTTTAGCTTTTAACTATGTACAGAATAGATAATTATATTTTAAATCTAGCTTTTTCAATTACTATTCTTCTAATCTCTCTATAATTTTAAGAATAGTTTTCCTAATCTAATA